GGGGGGGGGAAATTGCAGCTTCCATTTAGAGTTGTGCTTGGGATTATTTTCATGCTTTTTTGCAGAAGTTTGATCTTTCCCATTCTCTGCCTTTCATTTTCCATCTGTCTCACTCCTCTTACCTGTGTAGTGCCTGGCTCTGGAGCATTCCACAGCCTCTCAGTGGGGTGTAGGTTGTGCTGCTCAGTGTCACCCAGGCATGGAGCAGCTGACAGCCCTGGCCCAGGAGGGCTCAGTGCTGGGAGTTCCGCTCGGCATCGCTGCTTTGCACAGAGGCAAAGCGCCTGGCAGTGCAGGGAGAGCCTTTTTCATTTCCCAGGCCATTCCCAGGAGCCTGACAAAAGAAAGACAGCTTTGAACTCTTTTCTTTGGCCCTCCCTGCATTCCCAGGCAGGAGGTGCAGCACCAAGGAGACTGGGCTAATAAGATCATCAGGCCAGTGGCTGGAGCAGGGAGAAGTGATTAGACCCCGCTCAGCCCTGCGGTGCAGAGCTGTTCCTCCGGCAGCCTGAGCCCTCCCTGGGAGCCCAGTCCCCTCTGGCAGCCCCCAGGCAACACTGAACATCAGTCATGGGCTGTGTTGCTTAACCCTCTTTGTTTGTTTTTTAATTCCAGAAATTTAAGGAGTACCTGAATGGCAGTAACCTCATCACAAAGCTCCAGGCTAAACACGACCTGCTGAAGCAGACCCTCGGAGAAGGTGAGTCGGGGTCAGGTCCATCACCTGAGAGGGATTTAAACCAGGTGTCATCTGTCAGCCTCACTTGTGTGTGTTCTGCTCAGTGACTGATGGTTCTGTGCTTGGCTGCTGCTGCTCAGGTTAACCAGTGACATGCAATATCATGATTTCCTTGGGATATGTCTCCTCCCACCTTTCTTTGGGAGTACACGTAGAATCTGATGGTGTGTGCTGTGTTACTTCTCCAGCAGCAGGGATTCCCACCCATTCCTACCCTCTTCCTTTTTCCCTCCTCCTTCTCCTGCCCTTCCTGCAGCCCTAACATAGGTATTTTCTTGCCCTAGATGCTAGATTTATTGCCAAATTTATTTAACCTTAAAATCCACCTTCGAGTTAGATCCTGTGGTGTGTTCTAGTCAGTGAACATGGAGCCAAGTCAAGGCACAGACTGTGAGCCTCAAGGGCTCAGGTACAGCATCTGGGGCAAGAAGAGAGGAATCTGGTGAAGATTCATTTATTGCCATCCTGGTCTCTCCCCCTAGGCCACACTGGTCCCTGCTCAGGAGGGAGTGTGCAGGGTCAGACATGCAATGCTCCAGAGCTGTGCAGAAGCAGCTGTGGAGGATCCTCACACGTAGCTCTCTGAGCTTCTCCCAGGCCCTGGGATCATCCTGCTCTGTAGGCATTCAGCAAATATTTAGCCCAGAAATACCAAATGCTGCGTTTGAGCGTGAGCTGATTCTCGTTAGGAAGAAGTCTGGATTTGAAACCACTCATGTGGAATTCTTTGCTGTTTCAGTGAGGAATTGGCTGCCAGCTTGCTTTCCACAGGTGCCAAGGAGAGCAGGAAGGAGGCATGTGCAGCCAAATGCTTCCTTTTATGTGTCTTAGCAAAGGAAGAATAACTCAGCTTTCCTGGCCCTGGGAGACAGGCACAAACAGCATGTGAAATTAGTTTAGTTTTTTTTTCAGCGGGTTGACAAATACTGTGAAAAATGAGCAGATTTAATCAGCAGGGATCTGCTGGCATTTATATGAGATCCAAGCACTAAAAATACACGAAGGGAATGGGAATATTGACAGCCGGGATAGAGCCTGCCTGATGGTGATTAGATGGGCTGTTATCTCCCAGGAAAAGCTGGGGAGCTGAATACTCTGCTGCAATTAGGTTCTGTTTGTGGTTTTGCATGAGGCAGCTGGGTGATCTCTGTAGCTT